AGTTTTCCTTCGTATTGGTATCGCAACATTACTCTCTAACGTCAGTCGCCATCTTGGAATAAACTTTTGTCTCTTTATCCTCAAACGGATATCTTACTTTTTTTGCAAGCCGCAAAGCTTTGTTCAACTATATTTATATCTAAATATACCCAGACATGTCTTTTTGTAGCCAATTTCCTTTATTCGAATTCATTCTAAGTATATCCCATATTTTCATTCATATATTTATGATGTCTTATTCAATTCATTGTTTTTTTTGTTTCTATTGGCGTTTTTTTATTTTACGTTTTCTTTTTTTTTATTTTACGTTTTACATTTCCCCATATGTCTGTGAATTTTTTCTTATATTTATTTCTTGTTCCTTTTTATTTTTTAAAAACATTTTTCAGTTGTCTCTACATTTCTTTTTTTTTTTTATTTATATATCTATTTATTCATTTAATTATTGTTACACTTCTCGCCTTTTTTTTCTTCTTGAGTTCCTTTCCTTTCTGTTGGTTTGAACGAAATTATTTCTCAATCTTTTCCAATTTTGTTTTTCATTCATTTTTCTTTTTATGATTTTTCTATATTTGATTTTAGACTTTGTCTCCATTGTCTGTCTTCAGTTTTTTCCATTCCGGTTTTTCACGCTCAGTTCACCTATTTCACACACACACACACCCACACACACACACGTATATACATACATGCATGCATATGTATACACATTTGCACATACACACATATATACAGAGATACACATATACAACAACATCTTTGTCACTGTCTTTCATTCATTTATATATATATATATATATATATATATATATATATATATATATATATATATATATATATATAATTCGAATAATTATTTTGTGTATTGACAGTGCCAGATTTCAGTTTCTTTTCCTCGTATGTCTCTCTCTCTCTCTCTCTCTCTCTTTCACTCTCACTCTGTTTTCTCCTTCGCCTTCTCATCTTGTCTTTCTCTCCTTATCACTCATGATCTCCCATGATCCTCTCTCTCTCACACCTACACTTTTCATCAACCATCTCTTTCTCTTTACCGTCATATTCCCACCCATCTCTCTCACTCTCTTGTCTGTCATCAAGGGTAGGACGAAAACAATCAAAATCGCTGAAAGCGATGTTCGTCTATCAAATCTAGATGGACACTGCAAGATTTGACTCGAGGCCATTTTCACGGAGTATACACAGACTAGCATAAAAACTATATATATATATATATATATATATATATATATATATATATATATATATATATATATATTTTTTATCACGCATTGAAGAAGGTTGTAGGGGCAAACTAAGTTTTTGTGTTTCGTTCAAAAGCTTTATTGTTCTATTACATATAGAGTAAATAAAACATACAAAAAAAAAAGAGTTTGTCATCCAATATTTATAAAATATAAGTAACATACGTGAAGATGTAATATCAACACAGACATAGAAAAAGAAGAAAAAAATCAACTTTCTCTCAATGAAAATGGGCATAAATTATTTTTTAACTCAATATAAAAGTGTAACGAGAAACAAGACAATAAACAGTCAATTGCTGGTATCTTCTGACTAGTTGTCGGAGCGATTGCTGGAGCGTCAGTTAGGATGCTGGAAATAACATCAATCAGCTAAATGACAAACTTTATTGTATTAATCATATATATATATATATATATATATATATATACGTGACAAAAGGTTTCGTCTTCTAATGGAATTTATACATTTTATGTGAGGATTTTATTTTGGAACATGTATAAATAGAAGTAAAAATAACGTTAGATTTTCAAAAGTTTAGTTCATTTTTTAAATCATGGATAGCTGATTTTGTTGAATTAGTTCGTACCAGCCATTATTACAAATTTGTAGACTGGAACCATCACATACATTCCAGTTGATACTAACAGTAAAAGAGAGCCTAAACTAGCCTTGTCGGGATATAATTTAGGTTGGCTATTTTCTACCCCGATTAGAATTAAACGCCGTTTAGTTGAGAAAGCGGCGAACAATGCATATAAAAATCCCAATCGCAAGAAATGTCTAGTCATTAGATGCTAACTCTATTTGTGTAAACCGTCATATGCCAGGATTTATTAAAGAAATATACTCTGACGTGCCAAAAGTCATGTGAAAGGTAATGTTTGGTGGTGCCACTGTGCATTAAATAAAGAATCCTGACAAATTTTAAGAGATACAGGCTAACTGGCATATATATCTGTTGTGTTTTGGCGTCTAGTGAGCCAGTGTGAACATCTGCTGTGCTGTTCATGGCAAGGCGGTGACGGGTATGAGGTAGGCTTGCATCTTATTCTGGACTAGGCAAGACTATACTCTGGGTAGGGTTGATCTGATGTTCAACACCGTATCAAGTGTTTAATGTTCATGTTAGCGATCTCACCCACGATGATGATCTTCTTTTAAGGTATTGTTGGGATGCAGGTTGGTCTACCTCTCGACGTCACCTCCAGAGGATTCTAGTTAAAAGAACACATTTTGGAAGTGACATGATAGTGACAATTCTCGGCCAGCTACCCTTAGGTCATTTGTGCAATGTGGCGGAAGGACCAGAACTGTCCTGGAAAACGTGCGACTTCCCTCGGGTCACCGCATCGAACCAGCGCTTGACCAACTTATCGAACTATAACGCGTATAGCATTAAATCTGAAATCTTTCGTGTAAGGAAGTGACTGTAACACGCCACTTGAATCTTCATTACTTAAAATTACATTTTATTCAGCAGTCTGTGGCGTGCAACTCCGTAAAGTACTCAACCAAAACGTCGTCGGTATATTGTCTGCGATGTGTGTGAGACTGTCCCAAATAATTTCTGGTAAGGTTTTTTCTATATCGATCTGCCCAACATTGTCGTTCCCACTCTTTCAAAACCGGATTCAAGTGTGTGGTCATGTACTCATGCATTCGGTGGTCAGGAGCTTCTTTGATGGTCTGGTGTGAATTGCGTGTAATGTCTATCCCGGCACCATGTTACAATGAGAGTAGAAGTGGTGCGGTATGACTGTTGTTTCCTTCCTACAGCCGTGCATAAATGAACAAAAAAAACAAACAACAAAACAGTTCCAAAACAACTGACACGGTTCCCAGCCCAAAGTGATACTCTTCAGATACTATTGTTATTATCAATAAATGCTTGTAAGAAGCACGTATTAAAGAATATCTTGTGTTTTCAGGTGCTGTCTGAAGTAGTCAGAAGCCGGTATATTTATGCATAACATAAACGAATTCTTTCAGTAACACTTAATTTAATTCCGGACTACGAACACTCTTTCTTTCAGGTTTTCAATTCATTCTATAGTAAAAATCATTTTCAACGTAAATTCGAGATTAAAAATCACATACATGATGCATATACTAACCCCATTCCTTCAATAACGCTTGAATTGATCACCGACTTTTAACAATAATTTCTTTCTGACTCTGAATACATTTTATCAGTAAAATTATTCGTAATGAATTTCTATAGTAAAACCATAGAGAAAGAAGCTGAGAAGAGCCTGGACGGAGCAATGAGGAAATTTTAAATGGGAGAGAAAGGGAAACATTTGCCTAGAATCAGAAAGAAACAATTGAAATTTCTAGGACACATAATGTGAACAGAGGGATTAGCGATTTTCACACTCACAGGATATATTGAATGCAAGAAAGGCAGAAGGAAATAACAAGTAACCTCCCTTGTGAATATGGATAACCAAACAGGTAGTGAGAAGAAGAGTAAAAAATACCTAAGCTGAAAAGCATAGGGATATTTGGAGAGCCATGATCGCCTAAATCCTGAAGAAACATGACACATAAAAAAAGAAGCTAAGCCATTTATATTGCGTTTCTGGTTCTAGGACAGTTGTGTACTGGACATTTGGGTCTCGGACGCAAATGTCCAGGGACGTAGTCGCAAATGTCCAGGGACGTAGTCGCGTCCTTGGATATTGTGCACCTCTGATAATTTTTGAAGCTTTTTAAGGCAATTACCATAAATTCGGAAAAAAGCATAGGTATTAATCATAAATGTTTAAAAAAAAGAATAAAATAAAAAATAAATAAATGTTTATTTTTGTTCAAAATGCAATGACAGATTATCAGTGTAGCAAGATTGCTCTACACATCGCCATTTTGTTTTTGTTTCATCAGTGTTTTTCTTATGATAGTGGTAGCTATAATTTTCTTCGTCCACAAATATTTTTCCACCAGTGTTTGATTTTCGAAACTTAGCCATAGGTTCCAAATAAAAATATTATCTAAAAACTTCAGAATCTATTAGATGTTTGTGGTACGCACTGCTGGAGTGAACTAAAACTGCGAGCTTAATTTTCTCTTGCTTTAAAAAAAGAAATTTTCTCTCTTTTTTATTTATGCTAACTAATTTTCTGCTTCTTTAAAGTAATTAAAGGTATCGGTGACCAAATTTCTATATTAAGGTAACTTCAAAAAAATTATCAAAGGTACGCAATTATCCAGGGATGCATTTGTCTAATGACGCAGATGTCCGGGGACGAAATTGTCTGGTACGCAATTGTCCGCGACGCAAAATTCCACTACACAACTATCCGTCCATCTGCGTTTCTATAGTAAAAACGTTAGCTGTGTATTTATTTTATACATAATATTTTTTTTCTGTCATTAACGTTTCTGTTAATTCCTAATCATGAACTCCTTGATTGCCAGTGTGTTTCAATAACATAAGATTGATGCAGATGTTTTAACGATTTGCAGACAAATCTTTTTAAATATAAATTTATAGTATCAAGTAACGTCGTCGTTACATTGTCTGCAATGTGTGTGAGACTGCCCGAAATCATTTCTGGAGCTATTTTTCTATTATAGCCACCTGTTCAACATAGTCATTCACATGCTTCCAAAACCGGATTCAAGTGTGAGATCCCGTACTCCTGCATTCGATGGTCAGGTGTGAATTGAATGCAATGACTATCCAGTAAGAAGGAAGAAAGCTAAAAAGAAAGAAAACGATAAGCCTGAAAGGCATGTGGCTATATCACGTTGAAACAGCGATTCTCATACGATCACTGAAGTTAAGCAGCGTCGAGCCGGTACATAGATGAGTAACCTCTTGGGAATACCAGGACTGTTAGCTTGTATGTGGGTGGTGTAATGGATAACGGCTCAGAATTAGAAATCGAACCGCTAAGTTCATTATATTCAATAACGTATAAGTATCCTTGAGAGGCACGGTGGAGTAATCGAGTTCAAATTCCAATCGAATCCATTACATTCCTTACGTGCTAATACCCTTGGGAAAGATATTAATCTTCCTCTTCTCTCCCCGCCCAAGCTATGGGGAAATAGTAGAACAGACCGGGCTCTATAGCCTTGAATGGCAACTGGTCTACCGCAAAAAGAAATGGCAACCTACTGCGGGAAAAAAATCTGCCTCATTGAAAGATACATGATCGCCTAAGCGTGTTTCACGCATGGCTCATAACTGACTGACCCTTGGGAAAGTTATTATCTTCTCTGGGTCAGTTAGTAGAATTTGTAATTCTTACAATCTAAAAATATTTTCTGACTTTAAATAACCTGTAAAATGTTGATAAGCCATAAAGGACAAATTAAAAGCTGAAGGAAAACGAAAGAAAAAAAGAAAGATGCTGAAGGAGTGAAAGAAGGAAAAAAAGGAGGAGGAGCAATAAGAATTATTAAGAGAGGGAAATGGAAGAAGACAAGTTAAGAAGTGGGAGAATTTGAAGCGGCAAAATAAAAGTTATTTTTCAGTTGAGGGAGAAGAGAAAGTGAAAAGAGACATAGATGCACAGAAAGCATAAAACAACGAGAAAAATGAAGGAAGAAAAAGAAGAAAAAAAAGAGAATGAAGAAAGAGGGCTTGGAGAATTTGATACTCACATGACATATTGAAGGCAACAATGACAGAGGACAAGATCGAGTAACCTACCTAACAAGTGCGTGTAAATGGATACAGAACAGGGAGTGGGAGTGAAAGTGAAAAGGTAAACTTTGCTAAGAGCTAAAAAAGAATAGGAAGTTGTGGAGAGTCATGATCGCCAAAGTTCTGAACGGATATGGTACAAATAATAATAAAAAGAAGAAATAAATTAATAAAGATTCTTTTTTTATTTTCTGTTACTTTTGAAATTTTGTCGTATACTCCCTTTTTTTCTGGGGAAGTCTTGGCAAAGAACAAGAGAGACAGGGGAAAGCAACAAGCCACTTGACAAACTTGTGTGAATATATGGCGAAACTAGCCCCAGCAAAGGGAGAAAAACTGCTAAGAGTCACACGAGATTGGAAGTTGTGGAGAGCCATTATCGCCTATGTCCTGAAGAGACGCAGCACATAGAAGAAGAAGAAGAAGAAGAAGAAGAAGAAGAAGAAGAAGAAGAAGAAGAAGCTATCTTTAACCTAGATGTAACATCTGTGCAACTTTTTACCCGGTTAGCGTTGACTAAACGCAAGAATCGATATACATATTTTGAATCGAAACACAAAATTTACACAGAATTTAAAACGAATCCATCAGACATGTTCAAACAAAAACACAAAATGCTTACATCGAAAATAAACACACACCAAGAGAAACAGAATCACAAAAAAACAAAAAACAAAACGAAAAAAAAATATACATTCCAGTGGATAATGGAACGCAACGCACTAGACGGTGGAAAAGATGATATCCTTTTGGAAGAAGAAGGACGAAATGACTCTGTGAACAATGGTGACGACATCGATGATGACGAAGATATTCTACAAAGCTGACAGTATTGACGTCTATCATTGATACAGGCAGCAACGAAATAGACGAAACGTGTTTGATACTCATGTGAATAATTTAAAAAAACAAACAAAATGCAACGTTTGGTTAGTGATTTAAACTCTTTGTTACAGACTAATTAGTCGGAACCTTAAATTTTGTTTATTTTCGATCATACGGTCCAGGATACGGCGGAAGAAGATTAATATTGACTTTTCGTGTATAATAAGAACCTCTTAGGTTTAGGTTTTAAAATTTGGAGGAAGTGCGTATTATGCACGAAAAATTACGACAAATTGGCACTGGGCTACAAGTACGAGACATCTAGTGAGGAATGAATTTAGTAATCTGATTATCTCACTATTGTGACACGCTGAGATAACTTTTTTATCCCCTAAGCTTAAATTTGGCACAAGGTCTCAGGCATGTGCAGATAGTGAGGATTGAACTTTCCACTCGGCCGTAATCGTCAAGCAGTCCACCTCGTTAACCACTAGCCCACGCTTAGATGCTCTTTCTCTAAGCTTAAATTAGTTTGGCACAAGGATGCAAGGATCGAACTCACTGCTTAATCATCGTCAACTAGACTGGCTCGTTTGCGATTACCCGACTCTGGCGCCATTTTTCTGTTCTACCTACTTCGATTAAAAATTCATAGCGAACGTGACATTATTTGTTCTAGATAATGTTCGCTTAGTTGGTTTTCTGTTTTGTTTTATTTTGTTTTTGCTTTGCAATTATCTTTCAGTGTATGGTTTCTGAGAGAAATTACAAACCCAGGAATTTTTCCTCGCTATTGCTTTTAATCCAATTTCAGGATTTTTCACTTAAATATTTTGAGAAAAGAAACGTTTCCAGGAAACATCAACAACATCCATAATGCCGAACAAGAAAATCTGGGAAGAAGTGAGATAATTCCAATATTTAAAGCTTGCACTATTACGGCTTTTAATTTTACCAGCGGCTCAGGCTACTGTAATCAAACTTATCTTTAGCCATGACGTTAAAGTGGCCTCGCTCTGATATCGGCGTCAACCAATCAAACGCATTACGGCTAGTGTTATTTACAACCACTCAACTGTTGAGCTATTAATGAGATTGAGGATGAGCTAGAACATATTTCGCTATGGTTATTCTAAGTAGCAAATATTTGTTATTCGCTTGCATTTCCATATCGAGGGCTCATAATCCCTTCTTGTTTATTCTGGGAGTGACTATGAATGGTTGAGTAGAATTAAACAGCGTTTAGTTGAGAAAGCGGCGAACGATGAATATAAGTCTCAATCGCAAGAAATGTCTAGTTATTAGAAGTCTATTTATGTAAACCGTCATATGACGTGTTATGATTTATTAAAGAAATATACTCTAACGTGCCAAAATCATGTGATAGCAGTATGGAAGGATAATGTTTGGTGGTGCCACTTTACATTATGCAAATACCCAAATTTTTATCCGTTGTGTTCTGGCGTCTGGTGGGCCAGTGTGAACATATAATCTGATCCACAACGCAAGAAGAAGGGCATACAAAATCTGCAACCACAACAGAAATAACAACACTATCCTTAATTATAAATTATATAAGAACAGATGCATAATTCTACCAACCAACTCCATAACGTCCACTTTCAAGAACACCCTATCCCATTTAAACAACATCCAAATAATCACAAACACTTTCAAAACCATTATGAATATAATCAGATCTACAAACACCCATAAAAATAATATTTCTGAAGTAGGCATATATAAAGTAAATTGCCAAAATTTTTCTTCACAATACATTGGAGAAACATGCAGAAATTTACAAAACGCATCTATGAGCACAAAAGAGACCCCATAAATAACAATTTGACAAATGCACTGTTCATACATACAAATAAATTCAACCACAATTTTGATTTTAAAATTGCTACAATCATAAGAAAAATAATTTACTCAGAAAGAAAATCCTTGAGAATGCCACCTTTGAATATTATCCAAATATATATGCCACAGTTTTTTCCCAGTCTCACCTTTCTAACAAAATCACTCCTTTCCCAACCCAACATACACAACAAATATATCAAGAAATAAAAAAAAAACAAAAAAAAAAACGGTTGAATCCGTCTTCACAATAATTCAAACAATATTTCTAAATAAGAAAAATTCTCTAAATAGAGAAAAAAGTAAATGGCGTAATTTTTCAGTTAACCCAATGAATATATAATAGAGGTTTATAAATTCTTCTAGTGACTAACCACTTTTTTTTTTTGTTTATAGATATATTGTTTCAATAAATTAATTTCGTTTTTTGCCTTGAAAAAGACCACATTGGACGAAACGCATCGGCTAAAATTACATGCAGTTTTCATATTGTCTTTTTTCCTTTATACATATTGTCTATTTCTGAGAATTATATATATATAAAAGCAGTAGAGCCCGGCGTTGCTCAGGGATGTAACAGTAAGAGATAGATCAAGTATCCACCATCATGAAGACTGAAAAATAAAATTGACAAAGATTATTGTTTAAGGTTAACGGACACGCATGTCTTAATTAGTTTTTTTTTGTGTTTTTTTTTACGAATTGGTCAAACCCAAACTTAAACAAAAACATTGTTTTCAATTGTTATGAGTCTATCGATTGAATAGAATTGTAATATAAACAATTGTCTTGTAAATGGAATTTTTAAAGCATTCCGAATGTAAAAATAAAGAAAAAAGTGTGCAAGACAATAAGAAACACTACCTGCCAAAAAAAGGGAAGTTTTGTTGAAATCGGTTGAAAAATGTTGGAAATCCGATCCCATCCCATATAAACGAACACACACACACACACACACACACACACAACCTGGGTTTTTATAAGTATAACTCGATATGAGTTGTCCTCCTTTCATTCTGGCGACAGAATCGTGTTTTTATCGTGTTTTCAAATTGATTTCGTGCAAAAACAATTGTGTTTTCCAATTTTTTGGCGCTGTCAGAATCACCGCAAGGTAATTTTACGTAGTCCTGTGAAGTTTTGTTGAAATCGGTTTGAAAATGTAGGAAATCCGATCCAATATATAAACACACACACACACACACACACACACAATCTGCGTTTTATAATAAGTAAGACTAGCAGCATGGCCCGGCGTTGCCCGTGCTTGATTCAAAAATCATACGACTCATACAGCAACCGCTATCACTTGACTTTAAATATTTTTGCCCTTCCTTGCCTTAAAAGGAGTGCCCTTTTCCGTGCTGATGTTGCTATATGCCTTACTTCTTGCCTATCTCACACTGCGAATTTTTTCTAAGCTCTATACTAAACATTAAATCTGTTACGAAAAAACAAGTAAACAAAATGAACACAAAACGATCAGTTTTAAAAA